TATGAGCAAGGTTCAGGTCTTTGTATTCATGAATAAGACGCTTCACTTTATTCCGTCATTAAAAATCGTTGAAGTGTTTTCAGCGAGTCACAGGGTAAGATTTGTATTTTCACAGAAAACCTTGTTAGACAGTAATGTGATGGCTTCAAGACAGCCTGGCACTCAGATCCTATGTTGGTCCTAACCTCACTCTGAGCACTTGGGCTCAGCCTAAGATGAACGGACACTGAGAGGCGTGAAGTGTTTGTGGGATACAATCCAGGAAGCAGGGCCTTGACAACCATCGTGAAGAGCTTGGGTTACTGCAAAGACAATGTGACATGTCATTTACTTTTACTGCTCAGATCTGGGGGCTGCTGTGCTCTGGGGTCTGAAGGAGTCTGATGGAGCTCTGCAGCTTTTAGAAACAGCAGGCATTATTATGTATAGCTTTCAGAAACCCCTTCCAATCAGGCTCACCCTTTCTGTCAGTTAGAGGGTAAACTCCATGTTTCTCGGCAGTCAGGCTGAGAGAGCAAAAAAAATAGGGATGAAGACAAACTGAATTCTAGCTACTAATCTCTAAGATGCAGTATATAAATATGCCATATTCACTGTCTTTCATTTGAATCTGCCTTCCTGGGAAGAGACCATATGTCATAAAAAAAATTCATAGTTTCTTTTAGATTAATCTTCAGTAGGAAGCCCAAAAATATTAAATCTCGTTGCTCTCACATTTTTCTCCTCCTCTCATAAACAATTCAATTCAATGTGAATTAATATTTATCGAGTACTGACACAATGCATGGCAATATACTGGATGCTGTAATAGAACTGCTACATATAAGGGACAATACCCATGTCCTACTTTAAGAAAACAGTGCATTTTATACAAGGCAATAGGAACAATATAACAGTAACAACCCATGCACCACAAGATGGTATCAAAGGTTATTTAATTCTGTCATCATGTGTTAGCCATCTACCATATTCAAGGAAACCAATATGTTCTAAACCAAATTTGAGGAGGCTATGTTGACGAAGACCGGAAAAAAGAATATAGATTTTGTTTGAATAAGAGAGTTGCATCATGTGTAGAGAAACAGATTTGGGCTATGCCTCATGTATGAATAAATGGGGCTGTTCCTCTCAGCCAGACAGAGATGAATAGATCTTCATCTGTTGATTTATCTGGAGTGTTTATTTGTTTGTTTTTGGTGAAATGATCTAAGAGCACTTTTAGACATTGCTTTATCATGCTGATGCTGCCCAAACTAGCCCAGAATTAGGTAAAATTTGGTTCAGCTGGTTTTCCAAAAACTCCAGTAGGTAAGAATACAGGCTCTGTCATTGCATGCATTCAAATCTTGACTCCAACATTTACTACGTTATTAGATGTCTTTGTCCTTCAGTTTTACCATCTACAAGTTGAAGATAATCACTACATTGACACCATGTCAATGTGGAGAGGATGAAATAAAATCCTTAGTCTGGGACTGGCTTACAGCATTCAATGAATGTTAGCTGTTTTTTCTCCTATAATAATGTGGGAGAAATTAAGATACACATTCCCAAAAGAATACAGAACTGTTTGGGAGCTTTTGTTTCACCAAGCCCACATTTTATAAACAGTAGATAGACCGATGGATAGATGGATAGATCATGGATAAATAGATGACTGTAGTGGTAGAGAGATAAATGAACACAGGTTGAGCTCCCTGGAAAAGATTATAAAAATATGTGCAACAGGAACTTTTTTCGGAGGGCTCACAGGATCGACTTCCTTATTCCTATAGCTTCCAGAGTTTTGCAAGCTGATAACCCGTAACCGAATCCCTCTTTAGGGAATGTTCCTGGCTAAAGAAAGATACCTCGCCCAAGGCCATGATCCCTTTACAGGAGCAGCCTGAATCCAGTGATTGATGTAGGAGGACAAGGATCCAGTCTTTCTTTCTTCAGTTTGAGCCAACTCTAAGGAGTTATCCCAGATCCAGAACATCCCATAAAATCGACGAGGCCAGCTGTAACCTGCTGCGGCCCGATCCCGCTTACTTCTCTTCCTCAGAGGTGTTGATGCTGAGAGTGTGTCATCAAGGATCATGATTTAATGAAACTCCTAAGATTTACTACTTCATCAAGGACATTCTTAAGAAAAACTCGCTTTTTGTTCTTCCTGTGAGTGCCTGTGTCAGAGAAGAATATGAGAAAACTCGTATAGTTTGGTTTGGTGCTGCTGACGTGATTCCTGATGAGGTTTCTGCAGTTTTACCCATCAGCGTTTCATGCCATGTGTGCAAGTGCCAGCCTAGTGAAAAAAAGGCGAAAACATGTATTTAGTGCTACTATGGAAGTAATTTTGACCTCATGGACCCCTGGAATGTCATGGCCAATGGTTTAGAAGTAAATACGATTCATTTATAGTCCTATAAAAGAACATGAAGAAAGTTGTTTAGATTCTTTTAATATACCAAAATCGTATTTTTTAAATGATACCGCTTATCATTGTTAGAACCATTATTACCATAGCGGTTGACATGAAAGCAGTTAATCCAAATCTTCAAATGTTGGTGACAAAAAAGATTTTAAGATTAATTTTAAAAATAACTTGCACAATAATCAAAAAACAGAAGTAGTTCAAATATCCATCACCTGATGAATAGACAAAAGGAATAGAAATTATCTAGCAGTAAAAAGAATAAATTCCTGATACACGCTACGAGGCGGATGAACCTTGAAAACATACGAGGTGAAAGAAGACGGTCGCAAAAGACCACATATTGTGTGATTTCAATCAAGAGATATCCAGAATAGGCAAATACATAGAGCTAGCAACTAGCTTACTGGTCGCCCAGTGTGGTGGGAGGAGTTAGGAGAAATGAGGGCTTATTGCTAGTAAGTATGGGCCTTTTCAAAGGGGATGACGAGAAAGTTCTAGAATTGATTTTGGTGATAGTGGTAGAACTCTGTGAATAAGGTAAAAACTGAATTGTATACTTTAAAAGATACATTGTATGGAACATGAATCATCTCTCAATAAAAGTATTAAAAAGCAACTTGGTGCTTTGTGACACACTCAGCCAGATAGAGCATTAAATTTCAACCTGGTCTTAATAACTAGTTCTCTTTATATATGTAGAAGCATATGTGGAGAAGTGATTTTTCAGGAAAGTGAGAGGAGAATTTCCTGACTCATTAAAATTGTAAAAGAATATGTAATAACAGTAATAACAAGAACTTATTAAATAGTAACTAAATTAAATTAAATCAAGTAAGGAGCTATGCTGTGTGTTTTATATGTGATTCTCCCTGCAATTCTGAGTTAGATGACTCTTTGCCCATTGTGTCATAAGGAAACAGACACTCAAGTTTTCAGGTGCCCCATTAACATTCCCTACTCCTTTAAAATTCTGTTTGACAAGAATTATGATAGAAAGCAAATCCATTTTTTAGTAGGTAAAGGAACCAACTTTTAAACTTTAGTGTACTTCATGCTACGCTGAAAGAACTTAGGCTTTCAGTTCCATTCAAAGGTTTCAAGATTCCTAATAGAAAACTGGTAGGCAGTGTACATGATAGAAGAGGCAGATTTCATCTAATAGTGTACTGTCTGAGAAGATGGATCCGAAACAGAAAGAGCCAATAACACCAAAGATTTTCTTTGCTAAGTCATCCTTTATAAATTAATTATACAGAAGAGCCTGCTTGAATGGATATTCTTGCTGTAAGAGTGTTTTTTTAAGAGAGGGTTCTTTCCCTTCCTCTGCACTAGAGTTGGGAGATATCATCCGAGAGCTAGCAGAGAGATAAGTTGATATAGCAAGACAAAGTTGATTTCATTTGTGGTGTAAGCGTATTCATTTACCTGAACAATGAGCCATCGTTGTATAGGAGACTGTGTCACCACAACAGCTCGGGTCAGAACATCCCTGTCCTGAAGCTGCACTATGGTTTGAAATCAGATCTGTATTCATAAAAACTGCTTTAACTTGCAAAGTGTTTAAGTTTCTCTTATTTGTGCTTCTAATATATAGCATAAAGTAAGATAGCCCTGTAATCTCCTATAAATTTTGCCTGATACATAAAAGAAGAAATTTTCGTGTTTCTCTATAACTCTATTAAAGACAGCAATCTCCAAATAATTAGGTAGAATAATATGCATTATTTTTTGAACTTTAAATATTTTTATTTTCATTTCCTCTAATTTCAAGGGTATGATTTGTATCTGGTCTTGTTGATACATACATTTTGCTCAGATAACAATCGGATTTTTTTTTAACTCTCTAAAAAAAATAGATCATTTTTAAATCAAGGTGGAGGTAATAAGATGGGATTGATTACTATATAATAATACCATGCCTGACTCGTTCTCCACATTATTTAATTTAAATCTTCCAACCAGGAACTAAAATAGTCTCATTTTTATGCCAATTTTCAACAACGTTTTTATCTTCTCTACGTAATGAAAACTAAGGAAAAATCTATTATTTTCTCTTCGCTTGTGCTTTTCTTGCTCTCCTGCTGCCTTCCTATACTTGTTTTTAAATCTTTTCTTTAAATCCCATCAGATCTTTTCTTCCTGAGTCACCTGGCCTGACGACTATTTTTCACAGTATCTCCGGTTGTCACACGGGTTTTACCCAGCCCTAGGTTCCGCTGGTTCAAAGCTCACAACTAGGGAACAGGAATTCTATTTGTTTGGTAGCCTTTCCTCTTACTTTATTTTACTTTAGTTCTCTCCTATTGCCTACGTTTCTGAAATCGTTTTGTTCTGAGAGTTAATCTGGTTGATTTCCTTCTGTCCTTTGTTTAGTTGTCCTTCACTACTTCCAGTTAGAATTTCCTTTTTCTTTAAATGTCAAACAAAGTCTTACTTTTTCTTGCGAACAAAGTCAATGGTCCTCAGACTTGATGTTTATCTTCATTTAACCCAATACAATAAATGTGAGGCTCTTATTTAATACACACACACATACACACTGCATTAAAATAAATCAATGTAAACAATTGTGATTCTCTTGCAGAAGCATGATGGCCACTTCACGGTCATCCAGTTGGTTGGAATGCTCCGAGGCATCGCATCGGGCATGAAGTATCTTTCTGATATGGGTTATGTTCATCGAGACCTAGCGGCTCGGAATATATTGGTCAATAGCAACTTGGTATGCAAAGTTTCTGATTTTGGTCTCTCCAGAGTGCTGGAAGATGATCCAGAAGCTGCTTATACGACAACCGTAAGTTTATATGCCCTTTCCCAATATCGTTTGTTTACTTTTATTGTTTTTAATGTTATTAGAGTAATTCTGTTTCTACCTTTCTAATTTTCTGTTTGTATTACATTGCGAATTTGACATTATTATTTAATTGAGAAGTATTCGCTTTATCCGAGTGCCTAGTTTATAAAAACAACAACAGAAAAGGAAAAACTTTTTATGCTTGACTGTTTTCTTTCTTTCACTCCCCTGGGACTTTAACATCATGCTTAATGTCCATTTAATGACTGGATGTTATAACATGGGCTAAAGTATCTTTGATGCTTCAGTAATTTTCTTTAAATGGAGTTCTCTGTATGTAAATGGTGGAATTAATTACTAACTTAATAACAGTGAGGAGCAAGTGATTATGAAATTTTTTCCCAAATGTTTGTGAATGATCTGATCATACTTATAATGGACAATATAGATTTCTCTGGGGATATGTACGTATACTCTAAACCTTTTCCTGAATGATACTTGGAGGAAATGTGAACTGAAATGCAGTTTAAAACTTTAGAACCAAACTGTCATCCACAAATTATATCACTTCAATTTGCCCTATCAATAGTGTAAATATTTATGACTACCCTAAACCAATTCATTTAATTGATCTCTTTGATTATTGTTTTGAGAAATTTGGTCCCAAAGTCTGTTGTGCTGTCTTCAAGCTAATAATTCATAAAATTATATTCTGTTATTTTTTAAACAAACCTTCACCATTAACTCATCTGAAAATCAGTTTCAATAAAAATAAGTCAGTAAAACTATTCAAAATATTTTTATGATATTCTCATTTTCTAACTTTACACATCATTTTAAAAGATGCAACTCCATTATTGAGTTCTTTCTATTTCATGTTCTGTGCATTTTTTTTGAAACTTTGCTCTATTCCACTACTCCAAAATAAAATGCAAGTTTAATATTGTGTATGGAATATTTTATGCCTTACTATATTTGCTTTGTAGAAACGTTCTCTATTAATTTACCAATGATATTTTTTACAGATTCTTCAACAAAGAAATTGTTCTAAGGAAAATAATCTCTCATTGTCTGATATACTACGTAGCATTGTAGCAGTATCTATTGATCTTTTAATTTGACCAAAAAGCTTCATAAAAATAAAAATCTATCAATTCTGAAAACAGTTTGTTCAGTTTAGAAAAAGCAGTATTGTTAACTCCATTTTTAAATTGGAAAGTATAATTATTTTCATTTTTCTCAAGGTCTTTATTTTCTTTTAATTTATAAATTTATAACTTAAAACAATTTTTGACATTATAAAAAAATGAATGTAAGATTTTTCCATTAAGCATATTTTTTCCAGTGCTGAAGAATAATGTTTAAAACTGTTACATATTAAAAAATATAATATTTACGAAAATTGCAACAAATACAATCTACTAAAAGAATAAAATATGATGGGACATAACTAGTAGACCCTTTGGCAGTAAGCCTATATAGATAGACTTGAAATTTAATGAAATAATAGTTTAACTACTTTTAAAATGGTAAGCCTATAACTAAATGTAAGATACTGAGGAAATTAGCAGATAACTTAAATTTTTATGCCTATGTAAGTTTTGTTACATCAGATTTAACATCCAGACTCTAGGCATTTTCTGTCTTATGTGATTATAGAGAGTAAGAGGCCTACGACAGTACTGTTTAAAATTTAGATTGGACCGCAGACTTAATTAACAAATTAGGTAACCAGAATATTAGCACTCTAAAAAATGCCTTCGAAAAGCTGTAGACTATGTCTTGATTAAGAAATAAGTCTCTGAATTTATAAGGTATCAATTAAACAGCAAATAATATAATCAAGTTCTTTTTTAAGTCTCAGAACTACCTTACTGTTCAGAGGATTGACTTTATGATGAACATGGACATTCCATACTTAAAATAGCAAAGCTCTTGCCTTTAAAGTCTTTGTACCTTGATAGCGTAGAAGGCTCGTGCTGCCTTGCGATTCAGTCCATTAAGTGTTGTCACAGAGGTCTTAAAAAGAAGTATGGAAGTACCAGAAAGCAGAAGTCTGAAGAAGGTTTCACAAAAGGACAACATTTGAACCAGATCTTAGGAGAGTTGATGAGGCTGACAGCTGGAGGCAAGGTAGTCCAGATGGAGGAACGAGAAAGAGAACAGACGTAGAAAGGCAAAAAAGTGAAGCGGCATGTTGATGAAAATTTGGGGCCAGGAGCGATGGAGGGGCCAGATTCCTGGAATGGTTGTAAAGGTACCTGAGCGGCACTCTAAATTTTTGTCTAGCAGCTAGGATACCGGCACTGACTTATTTAAACAGGAAATAACAAAAATAGATCCATGTCTTAGAAGATATTATTGACGATAGTGTGAAGAAAGGAAAGAGAGTTTGAAGGACAGGACAAGTAGCAGGAAGACCAGTGAGGCATTATTGCAATAAACCAGAATGGTCATATGGCTTTAATGAGGACAGTGACAGCTGGAATAAAGAGGAGAGGAGATAAATAACATAAATTAACAGTATCTTGTATGTTGTATGTTCCTTATGATGCAATCACTAATTGGTTATGAATTGTAAGGAAAAAGGAGGATTTAAGGATGGCACTAATATTTCTAGACTGAACAGCTGATTAAATGGAGGTGCTGTTAATCAAGACAGAGGATCCCTATTAGAGATGACCTGGCTGATGGTATTAGATTACAAAGCAAAATTATACCAGAAGGTGACAGACATTCTGTCTCAAGTGTGAAATGATGCCAAATGATCGTTGGCATTCTGTCAAAACTTTGTTTATAACTTTTAGAGCTTTATATGAATGTACTCAGCCCCCAAATACTTTTCACATTTTGTGTTAAAAATAACGATAGAAACCTGTGTAGTAAAAATACATGTGAATTCAAGCAAACCCTGTGTAATAAAATACACAGGAAGAATGCTCATGTATATGAAAAGGATTCTTTGTTTTATAAAAACATCTGCATGAAAATAACTTTAAAGAGAAAACTCCCTTGATACATACACATTTTTATGTATAATTCAGTTTTTTTAAGTTGTATCTATATATAACTTTCTTGGAACATATGTTTTACCTTAGATGATTTTGATTTTTTTTCTCTTGCTATATAACTCTAATTGCTATTTTCTCATTATTTGCGAATGTTTTTCATAATCTGTGTTAGGAAGGATTTGGAGGAAAGAGAGGTTGTGAGAGCTTAAAAACAGGAAGACATCATGGATAAAGGTTGGGTTTGTGGGGCAGTTGGGGGGAAGGTTTGTAATCTTCAAAAAATTAGAACAGTCTGCTACATGGAAGCTATCCCTTTCTAATCAAAATTGGGGCAGAATAGACATTTTCCATTAAAATGACTTCGCCAATTTAGAGAGCCACAAATCACAACAAAGAGCAATCAGAACTGGTTACAGAAGACAGTCGGGAAAGATGGCATGAGCAGTGCAAGCCCAGCTCTGGTTATGGTACGGGACTGGTCCTCATGCGCAAGAGACGCAGAGGAGCCATAGGGGCCAGAGGGGCCAGACCAGAAACCAACGTGCCAAGAGCGATTACCTTCAACAGAGAATCTTTTAGAGCCCCGTTTAAAAGTCATATATGTGTGATATATAAGACAGTATTATCCGCATTTCAAAATACACTAAAGTAAATAAAAAGTGAGGTTTAAACATAAGTAGAAATTCAAATATTGCCTTCTTCAACTTGAGCGTTTTTGCATGCTGTGCCCTAGGTCTAAAACGTACTCATTCGCTGTGTACTTTATACAGTTTATTATAGCGCTATCATATTTCAGGCACTACTCTTTGGAAGGCCAATTGTGAAACAGCTTCTCTAATTGTCAGTCCCGAAAAAGGACTCCCATTCCATGTGGAAAAGAGCAAAGATCGTCCCTATGCCAACCACCAGAAATGGGTGTCCATACACACCGCTGCATCCTGGGCTAGTGTGAAGGTCCACCAGGCACTGGTTATCTGTTTGCCTGAATCCAGTGAAAGAAAACATATTCACAAGTTATGTGAAATGGGTTTGTTTCTTATAGATAACTAGCAAGGGACCGAAGTCTTGGGTCCATCGTGTGAGAGTTCCCCCAAGGCTGAAGAAGCTGAACAGGAAAGACGTCGTCTTGATGTGAATGCCCCACTTAGCCCACCCTGGGTTATATACCTCAGGGGCCACACGACACGCTGGGAAAAGCTGTAAAGGACATCCTGCTTCCAGGGAAGAGAGGAACAAAACTCCGGTTCTGTCCCATGAAGCTCCTTCCTAACTCAAGTTATTCAATTTCCTTGGAGGGACGGGTTTCAGGCAGTTCCTCCCTATCTGCGGATATTGTATTCCTAGGACATTCTACAGTTAATTCTTCTAAACTACCAGCAAGAAAAGGAAGAGCACTGGATTGGTCCAAGGCCACTCAAAGAACCAAAAATAAAGGGATTATTGAGAACAGATAAATGGCTACACAGGAGTAAGACCAATGAATAGGACCAAGAGTAATCAAATAAAGCATCTAGTAAAACTCATATGTTGTACGGACAGCAAGAGTGGACAGCGCAGCATGAAAGGTAACGAGTTGTAGCAGAAGTTTTTTCTGGTGTAGCATGTAAACCCTCAACTCAAATATATCAAGCCTTTTCAAAGGAACTTTAAGATGTGATAACGGCATAAAAAACAAAAAATATGTATTATGGGCCATGACAGAAGGAAATAAATGCACAAAAATAGGATTAAATGAGAACAGAGCCCTCGGTTTTACATGCCAATTCTACGACAAGCTTACAAAGCACTTAGGAGAGATCAGTGAATGATTAGGGTCCGCACCTAACAATACACATATAATCAGTGTTATGTGGCTTAATTAATCTGCATAAAAGTTACTAATAGTTCACACTGTTTTCATCTGATTACATGGTCTCCTGTCTGTTTATAATTTAGGTGCTAAGAAATCACTGCCTTTTCTGAATTTAATGCACATCCACATGGACAACT